GGTCGAAATATTTGAATTTTACACTTAGGGAACCGATTCCCCATAGGGGGTACCGATTCCCCCCACGCTCCAAGCTGTTTTATTAATTGTTTTCACACTAAAACGGCTATATGATCTTCACTAATCATCCCCAACGTTCAGAAGTGATTCAAGGTGTATTTAAACAAGTTCTGAAGCCCTTGATCAACAAGAAATTATAGAGAAACAAGAGAGAAAGCATCAAACACCAAGTTTGTGCAAATCAAGCCAATTTTCCTTTCAATATTCATTTTGCTTTCAAGAACACCATTTGTGCTCATTTGTAATTATCTTTGAGTGTTCTTTTCTTGTTCTAGAATTGTGCAAACATCTTACCTTGTGAGGTTTTCCTTGTAAGTTTGCAAATTTGTAATCTTTTCTTTGGGAAAGAGTGTTCTAAAGAATTGGGGTATATTCTTGAGGGTGTTGTAAGGTTATCTCTTTGGCCTCAAAAGAAAGAACAAATTAGTGAATTTGTTGGAAAATCCTTAGTGTGGATAGCTAAGGTAGTGGACGTAGACTTTGATTGAGAAAGTTGAACCACTCTAAATCGTTGTGCAATTACTTTCAATTTTCTGCAAAAGCTTCCATCAAATTTTTAATTGCCAATTCACCCCCCTCTTGGCCAATTCCGTCAATCGATTAACTCAACAACATGAAAGAAGGCATCAAAAGATAGTTCACAGTGGCGAACACAACTCAACAAAATGGAGTGGCAGAGCGGATGAACAAAACCTTGTTAGAAAGAACAAGAACAATGTTGAAGGCTGGAGGCCTAGAAAAATCATTTTGGGCAGAAGTAGTCAATACCGCCTGTTATTTGGTGAATCGAGCTCCATCAACTGCAATAGAGCTGAAGACACCAATGAAGATGTGGACTGGTAAACCAGCTGATTATTCAAACCTCCATGTATTTGGAAGTATTGTGTACATGATGTACAATTCCCAAGAAATTTCAAAGTTGGATCCGAAATCCAGGAAATGCAAATTCTTGGGGGTATGCTGATGGAGTAAAGATGTATCTCTTGTGGGATCCTACTGCCCGCAAAGTGATCAACAGCATGGATGTTATCATTGTAGAAGATATCATTGTAGAAGATAAACTACAAAGAAAAGAAGAAGATGATAGCATTGAAAAGTTAGAGACTACACAGATACATGTAGAAACTAAGTTTGAACAAGGAGATTCTTCTGAAGCAGAACCAGCACATGATTAACAAGAACCAGAGAGTTCTAAAGCTCCAACAACTCGTTAATCAGATCGTGTGAAAAGACGTCCCAATTGACACTCAGATTATGTTATAGAAAGAAATATTGCATACTGCCTTTTAATAGAGGACGGTGAGCCATTAACATTCCAGGAGGTAAAAAAATAGTTCAGATGCTTCACAGTGGATGATGGCGATGCAAGAAGAAATTGAAGCCCTTCATAAAAATAATACATGGGACCTTGTGCAACTACCACAAGGAAGGAATCCATTTGGTAACAAATGGGTCTTTAAAATCAAGCGAAATGGTAACGATTAAGTTTAGAGGTATCGTGCAAGACTGGTGGTCAAAGGATATGCTAAAAAAGAAGGTATTGATTTCAATAAAATCTTTTCTCCTGTGTTTCGACTAACAATAGTTCGAGTAGTCTTGGTAATGTGTGCTACATTGAACTTACATCTAGAGCAGCTAGATGTTAAAACAACTTTTCTTCATGGAAATCTTGAAGAAGAGATTTACATGCTCCAACCTGAAGGTTTTGAAGAAAAAGAAAAGAAGAACTTGACTTTCAGGTTGAACAAATCTCTGTACAGTCTAAAGTAGGCGCCGAGGTGTTGGTATAAAAGATTTGATTCCTTCATTATGTGCCTTGGATATGACAAACTTAATGCAGACCCTTGTGTTTATTTCAAGAGGTTTGGTGATAACGATTTTGTTATATTGTTGTTGTATGTGGATGACATGTTGGTTGCAGAACCCAACAAAGATAATATTGAAGAATTGAAGGCACAACTAGCTAGGGAATTTAAAATGAAGGACTTGGGATAAGCAAACAAGATTCTGGGGATGCAAATTCACCGAGACAGAAGTAATAGGAAGATTTAGCTTTCACAAAAGAATTACTTGAATAAGATCTTGTCACTATTCAACATGTAAGATTGTAAGCCAATTTCTACATATCTTCATATTAACTTCAAATTATCCTCCAGTATGAGTCTTAGCAGTGAAGAAGAGAGGATGGATGTCTCGAGTACCGTATACATCGGCAGTGAGAAGTTTAATGTTCACTATGATATGCACAAGACCAGACATTGCACAAGCAATGGTAATGGTTAGTCAGTACATGTCGAATCCAAACAAAGAGCATTGAAATACAGTAAAGAGGATCTTGAGATACATCAAAGGGACCTCAAATGTTGCACTATGTTACGGAGGATCAAATTTACTTATCAATGGATATGTTGATTCTGACTATGCACAAGATTTGAATAAAAACAAATCTACTACAAGATATGTGTTCAAAGTTGCTGGTGGAGCTGTAAGCTGGGTTTCAAAATTGTAGTTAGTTGTGACTACGTCCACAACAGAGGCAGAATATGTAGCAGCTACACAAGCTAGTAAAGAAGCAATCTGGTTGAAGATGCTATTGGAGGATCTTGGGCACAATCAAGAGTATGTCTCTCTGTTTTATGACAGTCAAAGTGCCTTGCATCTATCAAGGAATCCAACATTTCATTCAAGGACAAAACACATACGAGTTCAGTACCACTTTATTTGTGAAAAGGTGGAAGAAGGGACGATAGATATGCAGAAAATCCATACCAAAGACAACATAGCAGATTTCATGACGAATGCGGTCAATACTGAGAAATTTACTTAGTGTCAATCCTCTTGTGGCTTGTCAGAGACATAAGCAACATGAATGTTACAAGGTAGAAAAAATGGTGTGAAGATATGATTGTTCCAATCAAATCTTCAAGTGGGAGATTGTTGAAAAGTCAAGTGGCCGACTTGGCCAAACTTTCGGTGCAATAAGTTGGCAGCAATAATAGTTGAAAGTTGGCAGCATGATTTGGTTGAAAAAGTGACATGGGAAAATTGCTCATTTGGTCATGTACTTTAGAGTATTTACAAGATTAGTCTTTAAGCTTCAACTATAAATATCCTAACTCATTTAGCTTTAAAATAATCTCAAATCATTATAGCTTTCTCCCAATACTAGAGAATTTAGAGAGTTTTCTTGAGAGTTGTTTTCTTCTTTTTATCAAGAGAGAATTGTTATTGTTTTCTCCTTGTTAGATCGAAAGAAGTTGTAATTCCTATTTTCTTATAGTGAAATTCTTCTACTTTTGTCCGTGGTTTTTATCCTATATAATTTAGGGGTTTTCCACGTAAAATTTGTGTCTTCTTTATCTTCATTTTTATTTTCTCAAATTATTAATTACGATTTTGCTCTATACGATAGTCGTATTCCGCAACAACATCCCGATTAACAAAAAAAGAATAGTCTCAAGACTAAACAACAAATATCCTTTTTGTGTAGCGGAATAACCAAGAAAATCATGTATGACTCTTGATGTAAACTTATCTCTATTATTAGGCTTGGTTGCATAACATAAGCACCCACAAGCACGTAAATAAGACAAATTAGAAGATTTAGCATATAAAAGCTCAAAAGAAGTCTTCCATTTCAAAACACCGTGGGCAACCAATTGGTGAGATAGCATGCAGTGGAAACACACTCTCCCCATAATTTAACAAGGACAACATAATTAAATCGTAAAGGACGAGCAACCTCAAGAATGTGTTTGTTCTTACGCTCAGCCACACCATTTTACTGTGGGGTTTGAACACAAAAAGTCTGATGAACTATTCTCAAAGAAGAAAAGAAAGAAGAATAGTGAGTACTAAAAAATTCACCCTCATTATCACTGCAAATAGTTTGAACAATAGCAGAAAGTTGAGTTTTGGCAGGTAAAAAATTATTTCAAATAAATGATCGTTTCATCCTTATGCTTCAATAGAAAAATCCAGCTCATTCTCGTAAAATCTTCAACCATGGTAAAAAAAACCGATGAACACAATGGGTTAAGACTCCATAAGGTCCCCACAAATGAAGATGTAAGAGAATAAAAGGTTGTTTAGACTAGATATGACTCGAAGGAAAAGGTAACCTAGTCTGCTTGGTAAGAGGACAAACATAAAAAGCTGGAATAGTAAAGAATTAAACGACATATCTTTCAAACAATCAAGCTTATTCAATTTAGGAAGGGAGGCATGCCCAACCTGACATGACGAAGAACAGATAATTGATTGTAGAAGTATTAGAAATACAAGTATGAGAAGAAGTATTAGTAAGCAAAGGCTTTTTTACAGACTCAACTCTAGATGCAGGCATACACTTGTCATTAAAAAATAAAAACAAGTTGGATGAAGAATTTGTACCAACAGACTGAAAGTAATACAATCCCTTAGATTCCCTACCAATCACCTTCGTCATTCCAATGCAAAGATCCTGAAAAATACAAAAATCAGGATAATGTAACTCTAGGGTAATCTTAGAAACTGACATCAAATTATGGTTAAAATGAGGAACAAATAACACATTCTCAAGCATTTCTGTAGAAGACAAACGATATGTACCAAGGAAGGTTACGGGGGGTCATTTTTCCATTAGGCAAATGAATTATACGAGAACTAGGACAAGCAACAGGTGAACTCAGGCTATTAAAATCACAAAGCACGTGATCAATAGCTCCAGTGTCAATAATCCGATAAAGATCACTACGAGAAGTAGATAAAGTTTCATTTAAAGATGAGGTCACCGGAGGAGCAGTAAAAACTCTACTGATACTGAACTGGAGTAAAAACTGGAGCACCTCCTGAACCATTCTACAGCTGAACCTCATCAGAAACCGAAGTCTGAACTGCAACCATGCGATCTCCCTGAGCTCCTCGTCCATTTGTGAATTTAAAATCAGCAGGAAACCAAATCAACCTATAACAAGTTTCATGCTTATGCCCTTCTTCTTGTAGTAGTCACAGATGCTAGTGAAACACCGTCGATCAGAAGAGCAGACAGAATAAAAAATCGTCGAATCAGAACCAGGTGTAAAAGAAAAATGAATACGCTGCGATTCCTCCTGAGTTATCATTGAATAGGCCTTATTCACCGAAGGCAAATGTTGCATCAACAATATCTGACTACGACCACCGAGAAGGTCTCGTTCAATCCCGTAAGAAATTGAAAGAGACGTTGCTGCACCAAATGAATAGAGTTCTATTGCGAAATATCACACTCAAAGGGCACTAGTGTATCATACTCATCCCACAACATCTTCAAACAAGTATAATAACCGAAGACAATCGATTCACATTGACTCAGCGTTGCTATTTCTCGATGCAAGAAATAGATTCGTGACCCGTCAACCTTATCAAACCACTCCTTCATATCCTTCCAAACCACCTCCGCGCTAGAAGCAAACATGATACCCGTCGAAAGCTCTATGCTCACAGTGTTCAAAATCCACGAAAGAACAGCAGCATTACACATATCCCATTGAGAGTATAAGTAAGCATCATAGTCATCGCAAGTGCCGGTGCCATCTACCATCCCTAATTTGATTTTGGTTAACAAATCAATCTTCATCAAGTGGCTCCAGACACTATAATTTTCAAATCCCACGAGCTGGTGTTAGAAAAGCATTGTCCCAAGAGTATTTGAAGGACGTAGATACAACACATGATTGAAATCCAAAGCCTCTATATCAAAGAATTAGGAAAGAAACCAACGACAGAACAAAGAAAAAGAGGAAGAAAACCCTACAGAAAAGACGATTGCAAAACAACTCCAAACGAGGGCTTTAAATTACGTTCGCGGTTACGTTTTTTGTCGCGTCGTGTTTATTATGATTACGGACATAACGGATGTCATTGCCGTTATTGCATGTATCGCGATCGTGAATTTTTTAAAATGTCGCACAACTTACCCTAAAATTACTAAAATAAATATAATTAAAATAAAATTAAAAAATTTAAATTATATAAATTTAAATTACTGAAATTAAGACTAAATTAAATAAAAATTAAAATTTACATTTTAAACTAGGGATTAAATTATAAATTCTAAAAGTGAGAGATATCTCAAATTAATATATCCTTTAAAATTATATTTTAAAAATTATTAAAAAAGAAAATAAATAAATCTCTCATTCCCCGACCTTTTTTCCTCCCTTCCCTGATCTTTCTGGTTCTGCCTCCCCCTTCCTGCTCCCATTCCTCCTCTCATTCCTCCTTCTCCCATTATTGTCTTAAACAAAAATAGTTCTGCCTACCCCTTCCTCCTTCCCCATCATTGTCTTGAAAAAAAAAACTGTGCCATTGTTGAATAACAGATGTTGCGTCTCGTTGTTCGTACAATTGTTCATTTTTCGTTAAATTACGGGCGCAATCAACCGAGATTAGTGTGAATTCATGACCCACTGCAAAATCATAAAAATCGGCTTCGGACGGTGACGCGATCATAATATCATGATCGCTATCATGTTTTCGAAACACTATTTGATACCCTGCTCCAAACCCCTAAAAAGTGAAAACATGTCCGAAAATAACTACCTAACTAACTTTCTAACAAGTCCTAATTGTACATAGCTCAGCAACAGAGACCCTCTCATTGCTTATGTAATTCTATCACTATGCTTATATTAAAATTAATTTATTTTTATAATAAAACAATTTAATTATTTCTTATAAATAAATACACCCGGAACATGTTATCTAGCCAACCTTGGTTCTTTTGAAAAATAGGCAGTCTTAATGGAAATGCTACGAGAGCTAGTCGAGCGTTTCTTAATTTTTATTTTAATCTTTATAATTTTATTTTTATTATATAGTTCTTAATTATAGAAAAATAGAATAAAATCATTGGCAGCTTTTATCAAAATAATTCTTCATTACGACAACTTTATTAATTACCGTAATAGTCGTCCATTTCTCTAAATAATTTCTCATAGTCTATAATTTCTTAATTTTTTTATTTACAATGTTACCCTCATTTTACGACTTTTTAAAACGTTAAATATTTATTTTTTACCCTTGATGAAAGGGTAAAAAAATGAAACTTGGGTTCATAGATTTAAACATTTCTATGGCAATGCTCAAGAGATTTTGCATGCCTACAGTGATATTGATTTTTTTTCTAAATAATACATTAATTAATCTTAAAATATATTCTAACTTCATTTCTTTCTTTTTCTTTCATTTTTTACAAAAATCAAATAGGCTGATTGATGTAATTCAAATGCTGATTAAAAAGATTAATTTGAATGGATTAGAAAAGAGTGGAGAGATTATTTTGCTATAATATTTTTTTGATAATATTTTGCTATAATATTTTAGAACTGTACAAATATGATTGGGGCAGTATTAAAATGCTTTAACCACACACGCAGAGACGAACATATGATTTTATGTCAGGTTAAATTTGAATTTATAAAACTTTAGGGAAAACGAACTTTAAGTTATAAAATTTTAAGGGACGAAAATAAATTTTAATAAAAAATACATAAACAAATTTAAAATACACTCGTTTGTGAACAAGCGTATGGGTCATGTGGGTTACTTTGCACTCATGATGGACATGAGCAAAGCATATGATAGGGTGGAATGGGGATTTCTCTAGGCTGTTATGAATCGTATGGGTTTTGCCTCAGGTTGGATTGAGATTATACGGTGTTGTGTGAGCTTGGTATCACACTTGGTTATTTAGAATGGCAGGGCGGGCGAAGTGTTTTATCCACAACGAGGGCTTCAGCAAGGGGATCCTTTGAGACCTTATTTGTTTCTCATTTTTAGTAAGAGTCTCCCATCCCTTATTCATCAATCTGTGAGCTATGAAAGACTGAAGGGTGTATCGATCAATAGGTATGCTCCCCATGTCACTCGCCTACTCTTTGCAGATGACATCCTTATCTTTAGTGAAGCCAGTGGCCGTGCAGTGAGCGTAATAAATAATATTATCAGGGTTTATGGCCAAAGCTCAGGGCAACAAATAAACTTTGATAAATCAGGTTTCTTCAGTTCGAATGTTGTGGAGGAAAATCAATCAGATGTTCTTCCAATTCTTGAGGTTGGTAGTTCGTTAAATCCTGAGCGTTACCTTGGTTTACCTGCTATAATTGGTCGGTTTTGTTCACTTTAAAGAGAAGTTTACGGCCCGTATTCATTCCTGGAGTACTAGATTTTTGTCTCAAGGAGGGAATAAGGTATTTATTAAGTCTGTTCTCCAAGCGTTGCCTCTTTATGCAATAACCTACTTCATTCTTCCTAAGAGTTTGTGTTCTGAACTTGAAAGTGTGATGGCTGGTTTTTTGTGGAAGAAGTCAATAGAAGAAAGAGGTATCCATTGTTGCTCTTGGAAAAAGCTATTTGATCTGAAAGTTGAAGGAGGAATTGGCTTTAGGGATCTTACCAAATTTAATATCGCACTGTTAGCCAAGTAAGGGTGGCGGCTTCTTAGGGATTCCTCATCACTAGCAGGTAGAATCATGCAAGCAAAGTACTATAGGTTTATTGGAGAAAGGATTACGATGGCGCGTTGGATTCGGGTTCTCCATTTCCATTTGGAATGATTTTTGGCTCCCGAATTCTCCCCCGGTTAAAATCTCTTCCCCAATATCAAACTTTGTTCACATTGTGTCAGATCTTATTGATGAAACTAGGAAGGAGTGGAAGGAAGATTTAATTCGAAGCATTTTTCCATGGATGAAGCTGAGAAGATACTGGATATTCCACTTCCTGTGGGGAATCTGGATGATCGATTGGTTTGGTGTGACGAAAATACGAGCTTATACACGGTGCGGAGTGGCTATCGGTTACTCTTAGGTAATAGTGCTGGTTCTTCGTCCAAGACTTCGAATGTTTACCAGCGAATATGAGCAAGCGATTGTCAGAACAAGATAAAGATCAATGGTTGGCGATTTGTTAATAATCTAGTGCCTACAATGTGCAATTTATATCAGAAGTGTGTAATGGGTAACCCTCAGTGTCCTATATACCCTACTTTAATTGAAACTACTGAGCAAGTGATTTGTGAATGTCCTGTAGCACTTGAGGTGTGGGGAAAATTAGGCTACCATTGGACTAATGTGACTTGGCAATGGTGTATTAACCATTGGCTAAGCTAGCTAGTTGATAATTGCTCAGCAGTGTTGCATGGAAGAATTCTAACTGCAATACGGGCAATTTGGTTCGCTCAGAACAAATATTACCATGAGAGAAAATTAACTTTGAGTGAGGAATTGGTTACCTTCATTTTGGCTCATTGTTCGAAGTTCCACAATTTGAAATCTCGCATTCAGGCCGCCCCGTCTGTGCCTCTTGTGCAGTGGAAACCCCCTATCGCTCCTATGGTGAAAGTCAATTTTGATGGCAGAGTTTTGCTAGCACAAAAGACAGCTTGGTCAGGTACAATTATAAGCGACCATTTGGGGGATAATCAGGTTTAATAGTTAACTCACCATTCGTATCAATTAATTAAATCAAACGCTAATTCCGAGTCATTAATTGGATTCACCAAAACTCTAACATTGGATTATTAAATTATAACAGCGACTGAGAATTTGATTGCATCAGTCCCAACTCTATCAGAAATCGACGAAAGATCATACATAGAGACTTGTATAGTTTCACATTCTTTATTAGATGCGTCTATCAATGTTGTCTTTGTGTTGCATGATACGGTGTCACGTTTTCAACTAATAATTATGCTTATTTTCAATTAAATAAGTTGACTATGTGTGTATTCTTGTTAAAGAATTAATCCAAACACTAGTTGAAGAGATATTAACATGAAGAAGCCCATGGATGATGGTTGCCATAGGTTTGTTTATGGTTCAAAAAAATATCACCCCACTCAACAGGCTCTCCGAAGAATATGGTAATACTAGAATAATTAATGAGTTATTCAGATGAGCCAGACTATATACTTCCATTATATGCTGAGCCAGAAGCAGACAAGTAGTGAGAAAGAAAAAAATGGCTAAGTGCTACAAGTTTAAAAATCATGCTTTTAGTACATATCACTGTTTGATTGGACGTATAAAATCCATTTTTAAACATAACAATTCATGATGATGTGGACATAAAAAATAAAAAGATTGACACGTAATACTATGTAAGCACAATCGTTAATTTTTTAATGATAAATGTCTAAAACAAAATCAAAATATAATATTAAATAAAATTTAAAATCTAATAATAATTAAATGAATAAAACAGAATCAAAGTGATAGATGAGTGACAAAATAAGTATCTAAACTTAAATAAATGGGATATTATAGTGGGCCTCAAACTCAAAGAAGTGAAATTATTGCCAGGCTTAGTCTGTGCTTATGTATATAATTTCATCTCCATTTTCAGTCTTAAGCTAATATGGGTATATTGGTCATTTACACTCATAATTATAATACTTTAACTATTCAAAAGCTGAGTTTATTTGAATTCTTTTAATATGATATAGGGTAAATTATGTATTTAATGTTTAAATTATCAGTTTTGATCCGTTTTAATACCTAAATTTTGCATCTTTTTAAAATTATATTTTAACGTTTAGTT